TAAGAAGTTTGGACATCCACCTCTTGAGGATGGTTGAACTGGTTTTTGTTAAAATATTCATGACTGGGAGAGACATGGGAACAAGATCAGCCAATGAATAGGCACAGCAGCTAAGTCAGCCAATGGGAGGTTAAACAGACCTGAGTCTGTGCTGAGAATTGAAACAGAAACTGAAGCAGTCTGCTGCTCCGAGAAGTAAACTAGCACTCTGTCTGGGCTTGTCTGCTGATACGAAACTAACTGCTTGTGTTTGCTGCAACTCTCCTGCCTCGTGTTTACTTGGAAGAACCACGTGTTGGTATTGTACATTTAGTCCTCTGTTCTTATGTATATAAAGAAGTTAATGAATCCTGCTGAATCAGTTATCGGTGTGCGCTTTCTGGATTTGATTTTTCTGCCACAAACTCAGTTTTCCTGCACACTAATGAGTTGGGAGTCGATGATCCTTGAAAGTGCCTTCAACTCCTCAACTCTGTGGTTCTCCAACTATTTTGTTTGCCCCCCCTTTGTTCCTCCTCCCAGGCCCCGCAAGCTGACCCTGAAAGGCTATAAGCAGTACTGGGTGACTTTCAAAGAAACGACCATCTCATATTTCAAGAGCGCAGAAGACGCGTTGGGAGAACCTGTCCAACAGCTCAACCTGAAAGGTGAGTCGATCATCATATCAAGGCAAGGATGATGCAATCCAATGGCTACTCGCTTCTCAACAGTCTTGGTTGCAACCTCTAGTTCTTTGGCTGAAAGGATCTGGAGAAGAACTGTTGGTCCTCACCAGAGTAGACCATGTCTTCTGGCCTGGGCTTCCCAAGTCCATGAAGCAGACTCCTCGTTCCGATAAAACCCTTTTTATTTAGGTTAAAGGGGATTACTTTCCCGGCCAATAGTCTTGTAGGAGATTTCATAACTACAGACCTTTATCAGGCTTGGAGAGCTGCCAAGCCGATATCTTCCAAACACCATGCTGTAGCAGCAATTCCTTGGCAAAAAGTCAGGAACAGATCTTCACCCTAACGAATTGAACTAATTGTCTCCTGCGAACTCCACTCCCCTTTCGCTCCTCTTTTATTCCCTCTGGGAGGGGTCATTCATCATCCACCTGTGGCTTTACTCCTGAGTCAGCCCTTGTTCCTTAGCTGTTCCCTTCTCCTGGCAGCTCTGCACAGGGGCACATTGGTAACAGGCTCCAGCTGTTC